TGGAAGGAGGGAGTGTTGGCAATCTTGTTCGAAAGCACTATCTTGGCGTTCGTCTAGTGTAACTGAATAAAACGACGACAAATTAGGATTAGGGGGTAAAGTTTCGAATAGCAAGTCTCCCCGAATGAAAAAAAAAAGATTAACGCTTGATGCGTTTATATGACGCCCTATACCTGGTGTTAAACGTAACACAACAGCTCCTACGGTAAGACGGTGTATCGTTGTTCTGTTTCATCTAGAACGTTTTACACATCTCTCTGCAGTGATCTGGTTGTATCCCACTGTCCAGAGTGCAAAAGTGTTCTCCTTCTTGTTGCACGTCCGAAAGAAGGAGGAAAATAACAAAAGAGTCGCAGAATATCGGCGCTTTGTCACAACTATCGTGTGTCTGACGTCACTTAGGCCACGGTTGTCTGGCGACCGGATTGTGTGTCTTCATTGTCATCCGTACCACCTTTACAAAAACTCTACCGTCGTTATAGTGGTTCTAGTGTGTCTCTCCGACGTCTAAAATTCAAACAAATGAGACAATATGCCAAGACGTCTTATTTTTACTTCCTTTTTGATAAGTCTCACCTTAAAAGAGGATTTTTTATTGGAGTAAGAAGGTCTATGCGATATTTCTTTGTCTATCGAATTAAAAGTACGGAAGCGGGCTGTATGTTCGTAGCTTAACCACGAGTTAATTGGTTCTTAGATTATCATTACGTCTTTTCGTTGATACACAAGTGAACGCTTGATAGGGAACTCGGAAATTATTTGTGTACTAGTGAATGAATTTTAATCAAATATGTTGTTGATCGTCTGCATTAAAAAATGTTACGAGAAGTTCTTATTCTAGTTGATGTGGGTCTTATAGGTATTTAGGTATACTTAAATTTGCATGGAGTTCAAATTAAACCTCGCCAGTTTTCTTATACAGATTATTGGTAGTCCTATATAATGCATGAAACATTTTTAATATGGTAAATATTTAGTGAAATTCAAGGAAAGGTAGTTACCGACTGTAAGTTGTACATTGTGTCTATGCTACGGTCAATTTTTGCAACAATGATCTGCCTCTCCTGCGTTATCTTATCTGCCATCTGTTGTTGGTTTTCACCTATTTATTGTTGCCATGAAACGCACAAAATAGAAACTCATTTTTATTTAAATTACATCCCACGTGAAAAAGACAAAGAACGACAAATGTTTGTGTAGCATTCATAAAAGTTTCTTTCCATAAATTAAGCTACGCATCATAATTTTGAAAGGACATTACAAGTGCGTCTTGAATAATTATTAGGTTTAGCGGTATGCGCAGTGCATAAGACTATAAAGAACTGGTTTTAGACGCAAGTTCCCTGACGTTGTTCTCTGTGTTATGGTCTTGTTCATGATATCCGAGTATTACATGACGTTGTTCTCTGTGTTATGGTCTTGTCCATGATATCCGAGTATTACGTACACGAACTGTTGAGATGCTACACGTTAGCCAAGGGGCAGAACAAAGTCAACAGAGCGCTGAAAAGCCCGTTTCCATGCAAATGAGGAAGTGGATGACCGTTACTCCAGCTTTGTACACTTTCTGACTAAGTAGACGATAAGTATTTATTTTCTTACCCATTCTCAATATGTATTTGCAATATACTCTATGTATTGGCCTGTATGTGTGTGCCCAATGCCCGCGTTTCCACTACGTTCTGCAGAGTATTATTCGATGGTAGCTTTACGTATTTTTATTCTTCCATTTAGGCCTGCATACTACTATAGATTGACGTCGACCTGTAAGTTTACGTGTTGCAGACCGCTTCAACGACTGTGCAGTCCCCTGTGAAGCCATATATTGTCACAAGAAGTTCCCGGCCTGTCGGATAAACGTTCTGCATTCAGTCTGAAGTTAGGGGGCCATATGTTTTTCCTAAACTTAGGAGGATTTGCGACTAGAAGACTCGAAACTGCTAGTTTGTGCCACAGTAACAATATTCTGAACTTAGAAACTTCATCTTGCAACGTAGTCATTGGAAAGTTGTGCTCCGATTCCTTGTCCAGAGGGACTCTTTATTTTGTGAGTGAGTCACAATAAATTCATACAAAATTTTATGTTAGAAGACTTTGCAAGGAGTGGGTTGCATCGAATTTTCTTGGAACCTGGACTAATTGTGGAGTTACATGATGACGATAATGCGACTTTGCGTGCTTAAGCCAGTAAAATTTGTGTTACAGTCTACGTGAATATAAGCGAAGAATTATCTGTTTCGATGGAACTATGTATGGGTATGAAAAGGCCTCATATTAATATTGCTTTTATTAAATAATTATTACCATTAATTCATTTATCTTCGTAGTTTGAATTGTCTAGTTTTTGCTGCACCGAATTGCACAAACATTTGTTAAGGACGTTGAAGAAAATGGTCGTGGCCTATTTTAGACACTATCTTGGCGTTTCCTTTAGATGTTGCTAAGACTTATGAATAGCCTCATCATGTTATCCTCGACGTCGAGATTTAAACCCGAGACCCACGTACGAACCAATCAAGTTGGACTTCCGTGGTCTTACCGTATCTTATCACCTTCCGCGTTTGAGGCATCACATATGTCAAAGTCGATATTAATGAGTTAACACAAGCTGTGTGTAGTTGCGAACTCTGTAGGCCTAACAGTTTTCAGATTACCTGTCAAAGCTAATGCGAAACGATCATACTGAGGGGTGGTAGACTGATCAAGTGATTACAGATAATTTAAATCACGAATGACATTGATTTGAATTGTACAACCTGCATTATGTTACATATTGGTGATACTAACCATTGCACGATTTTGAATAAACGCATGCAATTATACCACGGGCATATTCATGTAAGTAATTGAATTTTACCGATACATTGTAATTAGATTTGTCAGTAAATTTATCGATTGAACCACTGTAAAGCTCGTCGTTGAGCTACTGCACTTTAACTTTTTTTTTTTACTGTTTGACTCTGTAGAAACCTAATTGACTTGTTTTCCAAAACGGCTAAATGTTTTTAAACGTGAAAATGGGCAGAATGTGTTTTTAGTAACTTGTAACCGCATACCTTTCGCGTTAATAACACACGGGAGGCAGTTCCAATTTATCAAGTTCCTAGAATAGATTATGTCTTCGAGTTAGTTTCCAAGTTGGTTTCTGTACGATAAACTGGGACTCAGAGAACAGTTCCCTTGCTCTGACTAAAATGTTGTTTTCTGAATTTCATTGCTCTCCGAACTGAGATGCGATGACTCAGTCAGTAGGCTACTCTTGTGAATACGCTACGGGCTGGACGACCTAGTTTCGATTCCTGACAAGGCAGGGTTGTTAGGATTTTCCTCCTTGCCACGACGTCTGGACCGGCACTATGGCCCACATAGCCTTCTACACAGTGGGTACGAAATATCTTCCCTCGGATGCAAAGCGGCGTGAGTGTGAAGCTAACCAACCTCTCATCTCCATCTAATACTGAGGTTAAGAATGTTTGGAGCTATATCTCCACACCTTCCATACGCCTGCATGACGTAATGATTAGTTAAGCACCGGAGACACGAAGCACCATAAATTTACACAAATAATCTCTGCTTTTTCTCTCTTGTATTACCTTAGGAAAGGGAAATTTGTGCTTCTGGACACCACTGAACCTAATGGCGCCATAGGACATGACACTGGCAACCCGACGCTCAGTGTCGCTGACATGAGATTTAGAATAAGGCGAAGACCAGCCTCGAGTGCTATCTAGGGGCATGTCTGAGATCGTTTTAGGCGTATGTGAGAACAAACAAACACCGATCTGGATTTCATATGTACAGAATGTACAGATGGACATCTTCAGAGGGAATTTGTGCCTGAACGTCGTAGTTTCATGGGAAGCCAGAGGTCTTTACAGTTGAAACTTTTTCTTCTCAACAAAGTAGAAGCTCTTACCAAAGATTAGAAGTTTGTAAATACAATAGTATAGGTTTCTTTTTTAGAAATACCACACACTTGAGGATAAACAACCTCTTCTTGTATTCAACACTTTCTTTCAAGACAAACTTCAGAAACTTTGAACACAGTAGTTTAAACCGAAATCGGTTGAGTTAAGGGTTAGCGTTTTCGCCCATCTGGGAAAGCTGTCCTTGTTGTAACTGCATGGTTAGCTTCTTGAAAGTGTAGTATGTGGATGTGTTTCCAACTTGTGGAGTTTCTATCCGGCATCACAGAACGCTGGTTAGAGTTTCGTCGCTATAGAATGTACGGACAAGCCATGAGAGACGGGCATGCAGACGAGGTTTAATATTTCCCGATGTAATATAGGATTATTCTTTTTTGTTTAAATATGCGTGTTACGTAAGTAACTAGCTGTCTGATTGAATAACTACTACTTGAATATCCTGTTAAATATTCAGCGGGCTGACAAATTAACGAATTAACTAATTGACTGCGATTTTGGACTCAGATCTCACTAAGCCACGGATTTGCGTCGTAAGAGAAGGCGGAACTTTATGTTATCTTGAACGTGTTGCTGTAACATATAAAGTTGTTTACTACGGCTAGTCCTCAACAGTAGCAGAGTACCCGCTTAAGTACAGATATTTTATTTGTTGTTTATTCAATTCATCGAGAAATATTCTGTTATGAAACTGTAATATTCTTCTCCGTCATGACAACATTTAACAGTTGCACGCCATTTCGAGCTGCCTCGGTCCAATTTGCTAACTACTGTCCAGGTAATGCGATAGAGTACCGAAAGTAAGAGAAGGCGGAACTTTATGTTATCGTGAACGTGTTGCTGTAACGTATAAAGTTGTTTACTACGGCTAGTAGCGTGCGTATATTCTGTTGTGTTGTGATATGACTACATTGCTTGAGAACTGAATCCTCAACAGTAGCAGAGTACCCGCTTAAGTACAGAGATTTTATTTGTTGTTTATTCAACTCATCGAGAAATATTCTGTTATGGAACTGTAATGTTCTCCGTCATGACAACATTTAACAGTTGCACCTCATTTCGAGCTGCCTCGGTCCAATTTGCTAACTACTGTCCGGGTAATGCGATGGAATACCGAACAAATTACGTCTGTTTCCGTCCAAGTATGCCATACATTTGTTACCAACAGTAATAGCAATTCTTTTCAAAACACTAAACTCTTACTTAGCGTAAGAAACTTTTTAAGGTGTGGTACTTGGAAGGGACAATGAAAGAGTACGTAATGAGCGGAAATGTCTATGTCTTGTACGTTACTGACATTTCTGTTTCTTAATGAAGCTTCTACCCTGCACGTCGGTTGTTTTCATCGTACTGAGTGAACCGTAATAAGGCTTACGGTGCACGGGGATAGCGGATTCACCATACTAAAGGCAAAGAAACTGAGACCAGCCAATAACAATCGGAAGGATGTATAACATGACGTAGGACATTGATGAATTGCCTTGTCAGAAAGTCAAGGTTAAAGATTACCGAAGCGCTTGGGCGGAACTGGGATGTTCTTCTGTGCGTGCAATCCTCATTCGCCTCTGGGACATGGCTGATTAAGAGGTAAGGTTTGATGCTCCCAGGGGGCTCTCTAGATAGGAGGAATTAATGGCTCGTCGCGGGTAATAAAAATGGTA